CTGCCCGGCACAGCGGCACCTCCGGCCAGGGGACAGCGACTGCACAGAATCACAGAATTGCAGAGTCCGTTAGGTTGGAAGGGACCACAGCGCGTCATTTGGTCCAATCTCCCTCCTCGAGCAGGGCCATCCCAGAGCACATGGCTTAGGATTTCCTCCAGACGGTCCTTGAATGCCTCCAGTGAGGGAGAATCCACGACCTCTCTGAGCAATCTGTTCCTGGCTCTGACGTCCACCAGTTGTCTCAGCACTGGTGGATGCATCCCATCGGGGCCTGTCAACTTGTGGATGTCCAGTTTAATTGTATTTTCTGACCCAGTCATCTTTGACCAAGGGAAGGTCTTTTTCCCCACCTACATTTACCCTGGTCTCTTGGGTCAGAGATCCCTGTGGGATGATCTTACCCATGAAGACTGATGCAAAGAAGGCATTCAAGAACTCTGCCTTCTCTGCATCCTGTTATCAGGGTCTCCTCTCCATTAACTAGTGGGCCTACATTATTCATTGTTTTCTTTTTGGTATTTATGTATTTAAGCCACCCCTTTTTGTTATCCTTGATATCCTTGGCCAGATTGAATTCTAGGTTGGCCTTGGCCTTTTACATCTCAAATCTGCCTGCTCTGGCCACGTCTCTATATTCACTCCAAGTGGCCTGACTCTGCTCTTGTGCATTTCTTGCTTATGTTTCAGTAATGACAGGAGCTTTTAGTTCATTCACAGAGGTTTCATGTGCCCTTGTCTTAATTTCTTTCCGGTGAGGAGTTTTTGCTCTTGAGCCTGGAGGAAGTGAGCCTTAAATAACAGCCAGCTTACTTGGACCCCCCCTTTCTTGCAGGGCCTGCTTGCATGAGATTTGTCCAAGATCCCTAAATAGGTTGAAGTTAGCTCTCCTGAAGTCCATAGCTGTAGTTTTACTTGCTGTCCTACTACTTCTTTGATACTGAACTCTACAATCTCATGACCGCTACAGCCAAGGCTGCCTGGAAGTGAGCCTTAAATAACAGCCAGCTTACTTGGACCCCCCCTTTCTTGCAGGGCCTGCTTGCATGAGATTTGTCCAAGATCCCTAAATAGGTTGAAGTTAGCTCTCCTGAAGTCCATAGCTGTAGTTTTACTTGCTGTCCTACTACTTCTTTGATACTGAACTCTACAATCTCATGACCGCTACAGCCAAGGCTGCCTCTTCACATCAATGTGCCCTTGTCTTAATTTCTTTCCTGTTAGGATGTGTTGCTCTTGAGCCTGGAGGAAGTGAGCCTTAAATAACAGCCAGCTTACTTGGACCCCCCCTTTCTTGCAGGGCCTGCTTGCATGAGATTTGTCCAAGATCCCTAAATAGGTTGAAGTTAGCTCTCCTGAAGTCCATAGCTGTAGTTTTACTTGCTGTCCTACTACTTCTTTGATACTGAACTCTACAATCTCATGACCGCTACAGCCAAGGCTGCCTCCAAACTTCACATCATCAACAAGGCCTTCCCTGTTGGTTAGTATAAGGTCAAGCAACACACCATTTCTTGTTGCAACCTCCACTACCTGTGACAAGAAATTATCATCACTGCTCTCCAGGAACCTCCTGGATTGTTTGTGCTTTGCTGCGTGACAGCAGATGCCAGGGTAGTTAAAGTCCCTCACAAGAACCAGGGCCTGTGACTTGGAGACTACCTCTAGCTGCCTGTAGAAGGCCTTATCCACTCCCTCCTCTTGATCAGGTGGCCTGTAGTAAACACCCACAACAATATCACCCAGTAGAGAGGAACATCTGCTATACTTACATAGTATACTGGGTAATGGTTAAGTTGGATGCCTTGTCAACAGACCCAGCAGAATGATGTACTCTACTAAGATTAAAATGGGACTCTTAGAAAATTTCAGATGTAAAATAGACCAATTACACAGAAGTCATAATAGACTGTACTCAACAAAGAGCCAAAGATTTCTTCCTTAATTCTACTTTAAGCTTACATGCAAGAATCAGATAAACCAATGGAACTGGTGTGGTACTGAGCCACCTAGTGGTTACTCATAAAAACCAAAGGGCAACAGAAATCAACAGGTTGGATGTATGAAGAATTCAGATAACATGAATGATACAATGGTAGAAAGGAATACGTCTGCACCATTTCCAGTTTACTCTGTATCCTGAATACAAAACTGGGCACCCTCCAAAGACAACCAACTACCCGGGTTTATAAATGTCCTGCCGGTGACATTTTACCAACAAGTCTTTCCTGACCTAAAAGTCACTAAAGTTGCAAACTGGAACAATCAATACTTTTTATAAACTGTCATTCTTACTCACAAAAAAAGTTTTTATTCTAAGGAGAGCACTGAAAATATGGCAAGCAACAGAAAAATATAATCTGAATAATATATTTATCATGACCTCCTATATATCACCAAGTCTGTTCTCTGCTTTCCCACAAAACCACATAATAATCATAATAAACCGTAACTTCAAACTTATTTAATCTCTTGGTTGGAACTTCTATGGAAGCATAAGCTTGGACCTAAGACTTTGCTCTGTAACTTTAATTATAGGATTTTATAACAAAATAAAAAGCAAGAAACTGAGCTCTTGAAAACTAGTGCTTTTATTAAAATTTTATAGTGACATACAAAATACAGTGTTACATCAAGATGTTTATAAAAATTAATAAAGACACTATAGCAATCACATAAGAAATATCAAAACAAATTTCCATTGAAGATACAGGCACCAATGGAATCCTATCCCACTATGTCATTAACAGGTTTCTCAGTAGTCCATCTTCCTGTGAACTACTGTTCATTGCCCTTTTCTTCCAGTACATAGTTGGAGAACTGTTACATAAGAACAGAACTATAACTACCTAGAACACAACTGTGCTGCATTTTTCACAGAAGACCGTAAGAAAGTAGTTCTTTGAACAGCCATCCTATTTGAGGATAATGATTTGCTAGGTTAAAGATAAGCCAAAGTCCAATTCAGCAGTATTGCAGATGCTGTCAGAATACACTTCTTTTTGCAGTTCTCTCCATTTCAGTATTTGCTGTGTCAGCTCCTCCAACTCCATCATGAGCATTTCAGCTTTTGTCAAGGCAGTGTCCTGAACCAGAAAAGGGTTGGAGTTAATTGCTATACATCCTGTCAATCTACCAGGAGATAAAGATAACTTAAACAACCAAACAGCATTGAATAGTTAATGCTGTAGAAGACAAAAGGCTCAGTTTATTTGTTACTCACCATATTCTTCACCGTGTTTGGTACCTGAGGGATGCTTCTTACAGACTGCAAATGGCTGTCAAGCTTCTCAATGAAAGTCACAGCCTCAGTCAACAACTGCACTATATTCCTATAACCAAGAATGAACCCTCTACTCAAAAGTTGTGCTAAACAATGAGAATTTAATATTCACAAGCACTTATTTCTTTTCCCTGCTTTTCTAAGTCCTCCAGTTTTATCCAACTTCCCAACCATCTAATTGCTTTTTTTTCAATTAAGCTTCAGCAACATGTAGGGTAGGCATTACAGAAGTGACTATCCACTTCTTCAGTAACTAGGCCAGACTTTTAGACTGTAAGAAGAGGGACTACACTTTTAAAACATGCACTATGCATATCTGGGAATCATTCACACTTATTCCGAGCAAGTCACAGTGGATGGAAGACACTCAGTGCTAAAGTAACAATTCCTTCCCTAGAGAAGCATAATGAACCAAGCATTTAGCACATTTGTTTAAAACAATACATTGCAAATTGTTCTGTAGTCTTCTGAAGAAAAGACCAATAACCTAGGTAAACAGTCAGGAAAATATGCATCACTACCTTACAATGAATTTATCAATGAGTAAGCTACTATCTTTTAGCAGAGGTTCTGCTACCATTTTAATTTCTACTCTTATCAATAGAAAAATGAATGAAAGCATGTGATTTTTTACTATTAGTTCAGATTAATTTGGACTCACACAAACAAAGAATAAGTATTTTCTGTGTGCCTACTTGTGGAAGGTAGCCTCAATAGGCAGGCTCTCTTGACATCTGGGCTTTATCGCCTTCTTTCTGAGAGCCCTCTTCTCTTTCAGTACAGCTTCCAAGTGCCTGTTCATATCTTGCAAAATCTCGCATTTTTGGCCTACAAAATAAAATTGCAAAGTTGAACCTATTGTCCTGCCAAAACAAGAGCAAAAATTCTTCTGAAGAAAGACAGAAGGACAAACACTGATCTACTGCACGGGACAGTTAACATTCAAGAAAGGTATGAATCAGAATGGCTTTTGGTGGAGCATATATGATTTAGTATCAGCATACACCTCAAAGTCAATACCTACTTTTTAGAGATACAGATTTGTTTATTATTTTACATTATCTACAGTTGTAAGTAAATTGTCTTTGAGATGAGGCCAACTTGTTAAACTATACCATAGCACCGAAGTATTACAATGTATTTCACTAGCCTAGCACAACAGTAGAATGTTTTTAAGGACCCATAAAATCATAGTGGAAAAAGTGTGAAATAATAAAGAAATTAATACCTATGCTCCCAAAGTCCCAAATTTAAAATGCAAGTAATTCTAGGGGCATACAGATGCAGCAGAAATACACTGAGTTTCTGGAAAAGAAGCAGAGTAGCACATGCAGGCCAAGGATTACTGATTATCTCAGAACCGATACTGCACTGGCTCTGGGGAGTTGACACATCCCCCATGCTTTTCTGGAGAATCAGTTACACATGGAACTTCTACTGAGACAGCAGAGGGGACAAGTTCAAATAATACTGAAACATTCCTTAGGGGCTAAAAAAACACCTACCACCTCTAACAAGCTAACCAGAGAACACTTGAGCAATAACTTCCAGAAGTGTCATGTACTCAGACAAAACAATCTGTTGAAGTAATTTAAGACTCTTGGTTTTCCTATGGTCCAATTGCACTTACTTAAATAAAAAGGGTGAGCAATGTCTGCTGTCTCATTCTCCAACTGCAGCATTTCAGTTTTCAGTTCTATCTACAACAATAACATCAAATGAAAATACATTTTTAACATACTTATCCAGATACTGTTGACTAAGAATGTTGACTGATTGTGACTGAGCATGTTATGATGCTCTTTGGAAGGTTTCTGCTACTAGGTGGGGCTTTTTTGGTTAATAGGAAAAACTGTTTAAAAAAACCCCCTTAGATAATTGGAAAATACAGATCCTGCAATTCATTCCTAAAACACAAATTTATCAGAGAATCACAGAATGGCTTGGAAGGTGCCTTAAAGATAATTTCGTTCCAAAGCCCCCACCATGGGCAAAGATATCACTCAGTAGGACCAGGTTGCTCAGAGCCCCATAAACCTGGCCTTGAACACTTGCAGAGATGGAACTCCACAGTGAGCTCATCTCCCAGTCTATACTCACATCAGGAATTGCCCTGGCCCCGATGCAGCACTTTGCACTTGGACTTGCTGAACTTCATGAGGTTCTTGTGGGCCTACTTCTCAAGCTTGTTGAGGTCCCCCTAGATGGCATCCTGTCCTTCTATTGTGTCAACTGCACTGCTCAGCTTCATGTCATTAGCAAACTTGCTCAGGGTGCCCTTGATTTTGCTGTCTATGTCATTGGTAAAGATATTAAAGAACACTTTAATACAGGACAGAGCCCTGAGGAACACCACTTGTCACCAGCCTCCAACTGGACATAAAGCCATTGACCACAACTCTCTGGCTGTGTCCATCAGCCAATTCCTTATTCACCACATAGCTCACCTTTCAAATCTATGTCTTTCCTACAAAGCCATTTAATAGTCTATATAGTGTCTAAAACATTATGAAATACAAGCTAAAAGCCAATTCAGGCCATAGAAAATGACCAAGGTTACATCTAGCTAACCAACAAAATGGTTTTGTTGCCTATAAAGAAACACATTTTTTGAACTGAAGTCAACCACAAGTTCTTACTTATTCCTCAGTTTCTTCAGAAAACTTCAGGTTACACTTCAGTCGCAGGTGCAGCCTACTGAGTGCTTCTACTTATACCTAAAACTTGTGTTTCACAGTTTTGTTCACTCCTTTATGACAATTCAGTCCACTGGGGAAAAAGTGCCAACTGTTAAACCGCTGAACAGTTAAAAAAAATTCTAAATATGAAATACACAGCACACGGCAGTCTCACAGTTCATCACGTGCCCTGCATTACCTCCAAGTATTGAAGCGCTGAGTGCACACTGACAAGAGTAAAGGCTGTACCTCATTGAGCTCAGCTTGCATGTCTGCAGTTTTCTCCATCTCTGCGAATTTCACAAAGCATGGCTTTTTTCTATAGGTTAAATCCAATGTCTCCTGCGAAAGGAAAACAACAGGAGAAAATGCACCCCACAGCAAGAACGCACCAGGCAAATTCTCAAGAACAGCTTTTAGCAGACCGCACGGGTTCCCCCCCCCCCGCCGCCGCTACCTTGCTCAAGGCACCCGTGGCCAGGCACCGCTCCAGCAGCACCGCGGGCGCCGAGGGCCGCACGGAGTCCCAGGC